GATGTAGAACCACTGCTGTTCTGTGCACTTCTCTACACTCATTGTGGGCGAGAGGGTGTGTCGCCTCTGCTGCTGCTGCTGTTGCTGTTATCTAAGCGGTGGCGGAAGCGTCCTGTTCAAACAATCAGCAGCAGCTGCAGCACAAGCCGCGGAATTTTTCAACGTTTTTTTTCCTCTCTAGCTGATGACGATGGACAGCACCCCCTCCCCCTCCCGATGATAGCACCCCCCCCTCACGGCTGACGATGGATACCACCCCCCTCGCTAGCTGATGATGGACACCACCCCCCTTCTAGCGAATGATGATGGATACCACCCCCCTCTCTAGCTGGTGATGGTGATCATGGACCGCCCCCCGTTCTTCTGTAACAGACGCACGAGCCTACTGCAGGTACTTTTGTGCAACCACCACAAAAAACTATTCCATCTCTCGATCTAGTATTTCGCAACGGCTTTATTTTTCGTCTTCCACAAACAAACCGCGTCCGTCATGCTGCTGCTGCTGCTGCTGCTGCTGCTGCTTCTGCCGCGGCAGCGGCGACGGCGGCAACGGCGGCTAGTATCTGTACGTGAGGGTACTACTTGCAGCCCTCGAAAGTTCTGAAAACTACACCGTATCGCGATAATTTTGTTTTCCCCGTTTATGTAGCATTTTCCATATTTTTCGGTTCAAAGTGCACCGGGTGCAACGAGCTGGGTGCAACGAGCTGAGCTGACACAACATTGTCACGTATAAGACTGCGCGTGTCATGTGCTGGCTTGCCGGTCCCGATATTGTACTCACCGGTGCTACAAGCGCTGTTTGAACGCACCATTCACACATTTAGACTCCTCAACTGCTGTCTATTTAAACCTCTATGCCTGCTGCTGTGCGGGCGCAGCTCCCCGTGGGGCCTTACAGATGCTCGTCACAAGTGTGTAATCAGTCGAACAATTTTCCACATGCACGTGCTTCGCTATCATCACATATTGACAGCACCGGACCCAGGCAACACTATCGCGTTGTTTTAGTATTTCATCCTTGTGTATTCTCTGCATATACTTCTGCCGTGATGCGTTGCTGCGGGTCGATCACACTCCCTGCACGAATACAAAGCCCCTGTAGGCGCTCTCACAAGTGTAATCAGTCGACCAAATTTCCACATGCACGTGGTTCGCCAACATCACATATTGACAGTACCGGACCCAGGCAATACTACAGCAGTAGATATGGTTTTGTTTTAGTACTTTATCTTCGTGTGCGTTCTGCATAAACTCTGCTACAGTAGGGCCCTGCTGCGGGCCAAAAACACTCCCTGCACGAATACAAAATACAGTCGACATCTGTGCTCGCGATCCCCTTCAACTGATCCAAACATCCATGCACCACGCCGCGTATTACTCATCTGCTTATACCTTGAAAAAACTACCGGCTGCACTGCCAATACGCACATCAACATATACCGGGGACGGGATCAGATAGGGCTTGCTGTGCTTTGAATTGATTTTTTCCTGTCAAACTTTGCTGCTGCTGTCGTATGAAAATGTTCCACACGAACTGACGCCTCGACCCGAAATCCCAATTTCACACAGGAAAATCGCGCAACAACCTCGGCAAGCTAAACGCCGTGGAGGAAAGGAATTTCAAGCGACAGCGGCTGGCCGGTTCGGACGCGACCCGCGCAGGCTTCACGCTAGAGTGGACGCTTTCCAGGCGCGAGAGACGTTTGGTGGCCCGGGGCTGGAGCAAGAGGGAAGGAAAGCTTCGGCGGGACTTCGACAAGCGGGGCTCCTATCTCGGCAACCGGACCACGAGCTGACATCGCAGATCGGTAGCAACGAGCAGCACATTCGGCGTTATGGCGGAGCAAGACCTCGCGAGTCTTCTCGCCCCTCTCCCCCCCTCGCCCATCGAAGGAAATGCAGAGGTGGACGCACGGGCGTGTACCGGCGAGGACAACCAGTACAAGGAGGAAGTGTCCGCCACCCAAGCAAACCGCTTGTGGTATCAAGGGCACTCGGCGTTGACGGTGTTGAAGGAGGAGCGGAAGCGCGACCTGCGGCAACTGCAACTCACGCAGCAGGCGAAGAGCTTGTCCGATGAGTCGTACACGACGATCCCAGCGGTGAAGGCAGCCGAGGCCAAACGGTTTGAGCTGTTGAACGAGGCCTCGCGTCTTCGACACGAGTCGTCGCTCTTGCGGATCGCGGCGAGAGTAAACTCCGCTGGCTCACGGGTTTACGCGGCATCGACAATCCTGGGGTGGCTCAGGGACTTTCGGGGGCACGGTGGTTTCAAGCTAGATTCAAGGGGGGTGCACGAGAGGGACTGGATCATGTCGGAAGAGGACCTCAAGGATGAGCTCATCAAGTGGATGAGGAGACAGAAGCGCCTTACGGTCAAGGACGTCCAGAACTACATCAACCAGTGGCTCTTCGCGAACGAGATCGGGGATTTATCCAGACTCCTTTCGTACCAGGTGAACCTTCCCGTGTCCATGGCCACAACCCACTCCTGGATGATCGCGCTGGGGTGCAAGTACGAGCGGGCTACGAAGTCTTTTTACACGGACGGCCACGAGAAGAAGGACGTGGTGGTGTACCGCGGCAAGTACATCGATGTCAAGCGGAAGCTCGCCCTTCGGCAACCGTTGTGGGTGCGAGTTCAACGAGACACTCTGACGCCGGAGGAGCTTCAGCGGCTTGACGGCATCAAAGGTCCGGCAAAGGATTTCTGCGCAGAGGTTTACGATTGCGTGGTAGAGGGGCGCGAGTGCATCGAGTTCCACGTCGATTTCCTGCGGGACAACGGCTCCGTCGATCGATTCGACGCTCTCCGTGCTGAACTTGNACAACGGCTCCGTCGATCGATTCGACGATCTCCGTGCTGAACTTGGACCGGAAGGGGGGCACTTCAGCGTCCGCTTCGAAGAAGCTGCTGCTCTTCCATGCGAGCATTTTCACACCCCGGCCAAGTGCAAATGCAACAGGAAGGTGCGCCACATCGGACAGGACGAGAGTGTCTACAAGGCGTATGCGCACGAGGGCAAGAAGTGGGTTGTCCAAGGGGTACGCGGGATACGTAAAAAAACCGAGGGCCCGGGAGAGATGGTGTCTGGCTTTCAAGATGAGAGGCACGGCTTTGGCTTGCCGTTGACGGACGACGTGCTGCAGGCGGTGAACGCGCGTCGCAAGGAGAAGGGCAAGGAAGTCCTGACACGAAGCCCTGGCCTGCGGTTTCTCCAGTACGGGAAGAACAAGGATGGATACTGGGGATACGACGAGTTCAAGGAACAGATCGAGGACGTCTTGGACGTCTTGGACGTCTTTGAACCCGACATGCAAGTGGTGGTTGAGNCCCTGCGGTTTCTCCAGTTCGGGAAGAACAAGGATGGATACTGGGGATACGACGAGTTCAAGGAACAGATCGAGGACGTCTTGGACGTCTTGGACGTCTTCGAACCCGACATGCAAGTGGTGGTTGAGATCGACCACTCGTCGGGGCACACAAGGCAGCGGGAGGATGGATTGCATGTGGGGAACATGAATGTCAAGTACGGGGGGAAGCAAAAGGTGTTGCGGGATACAGTCATGACAGAGGGGTGTTTGGGACCGGAAGAGGCGAAGATGTACCTCTCCAACGGTAAGTGGAGCACGGAGTTCANTTAGTACACCGAGGGGGCAGAGGTCTACGACATGAAGCTCAAGGTTGGCGACACACAGAACAGCACGTTTGCGGCAGGTGCTCCACCTCCCTTTTACGAGTGGGATGCGCCGCGCAAAGATGTGAAGGTCGCGCGCAAAAGGCTAAGCGCAAGAGCAAAGCGGGAGCGGGGGTTGGCGCAGGCGATGTGGCGGCTGATGGGGCTGGAACAAAGCCTAGGGATAAGATTAAGGAAGGGTACGAAGGGAAGGCAAAGGACTCGAAGCAGTACCTGTGGGAACGGGGATTGTGGAAAGAGGGGATGAATGCGTCAGTGGGGATATCTGACGAGAAGAACGTCGAGAAAGTCTTGCAGGCACTGACGGATTTTGAGAGTGAGAGGACGGCGCTGCAGTACTTGGTCGAGAGCAGGGGACACATACTTTTGTTGTCTCCGAAGTGTCACCCAGAGGTAGCGGGGGTAGGGATCGAGTACTCGTGGGGGTTTTCCAAGCAGAGGTTTCGGCGGAAGTACAACGACGAAGTCCCAAAGCACTTGCACGCCAACATCGAAAAATCGATGTCCAGGGAAAAGCATTTCACGATCGGTCGGGTGCGACGCTTCGCCCGGCGTACCGAGACTACTGCCGAGCTTACCGCGAACTACAGCTGGGTGCGGTAGACGGCCAGGGTCTACAGCTGGTCGAGAAAGTGCGCGACACCCAAAAGGCTCACCGCAACATACTGGACATGGAGCCCGGTTTCCTTGGCAAGCAGTGACCTTGGCCGGCCGGCCGGAAGAGGGGGGGGTACATGGTGCTGTAGAGAGTTACTTGTATGTGTTGTTGAAGATTGTATAGTTGTACATTTTACGCAGCGTGGGTGTTGTTGTTGGCTTTGTATTACAGGTTAAGCATAGGTGTGGTTGTGTGCAAAATATCGTGCGGTGATGCCGTAAAAGTCTGCTTTTTTTNTGGCCGGCCGGCCGGAAGAGGGGGGGGTACATGGTGCTGTAGAGAGTTACTTGTATGTGTTGTTGAAGATTGTATAGTTGTACATTTTACGCAGCGTGGGTGTTGTTGTTGGCTTTGTATTACAGGTTAAGCATAGGTGTGGTTGTGTGCAAAATATCGTGCGGTGATGCCGTAAAAGTCTGCTTGTTTTTCCGGTCGAGTTAAGACTTATTGCTCGAGTTTGTGCACGGGCATGTTGGCGTCGTGAGCTTTAAATACATGATTCACATCATCACGACCAGTGGGTACAACTCATGTACGTCATGGGCTGGTAGGCAGCGCCAGTGTGGCTCCTGCCAACTACACCGCTTTCGCACACGTCCCTACGGTCCCTAGACCCCTCATTTTCCTTTATAAATGGTGTGCCCCTGCACCCAGGTTCTGAGGCCAGAACGAAATTCTGGATTTCCCGCGCGGTTTTTTCGAATGAGAACCTGAAATTTTGAGACGGCATCTGCATGAGTACAACAAAAACAATTGCCACTGCGCCATTTGTTTTTTTTTTAAAGTCACTTTGTCCCAAAACAAGTATTCCCATATTTTCAACAATAGGGGTAACTCATGGAAAAAAAAAAATCCAAATGGCGCAGTGGTAATTTTTTGTTGATGTACTCATGCAGATGCCGTCTCAAAATNCGGTCACTTTGTCCCAAAACAATTATTCCCATATTTACAACAATAGGGGTAACTCATGAAAAAAAAAAATCCAAACGGCGCTGTGGTATTTTTTTTTTGTTGTACTCATGCAGATGCCGTCTCAAAATTTCAGGTCCTGATTCGAAAAAACCGCGCGGAAAATCCGGTCCAACCGTGAAATACGCGTCTTGGCTGGACCAGCTTGTAGCGATTTAGTGGGACAGCAACCGTCCGATGTATTTGAAAGGAGGAGCAGCGACCAAAAAAATGCGCCAACTATTTTCGCTGACACACGCTTCGATCAGGCGCGGCGGTAGGCGAGTCATGCGCATGGAAAGCACGGAGTTATCGCAACCCAAAGTCTTGGGGATCTCGCGGTCTGCCCCATAATAACCCCTCCTCCTCCGCCCCCCATCGGTTTTACCATCGGGGTTGGGTTTTCGTCGCTTGGAAACGACGTTGTAAAACAAGCCAATTCACTTCGTGAGCTCGGCAACCAGGTTACCCGTATATTTACCTCTGTTTTGTTTTGGCGATGTTTGGGGTGCTCGGCAGAGTATACTGTCTACGGGGCCTCTGGGGGGTACGCGGATGGAAAGTATTGACGGACATGCTGCATGGCGATGGTGTGGCCTACCGCATGTCTCTCACTCTCTAAGCAACGAGGTCTTGAGTCAACCTTCTTTCTCTTTCGGCCTCTGACGAGCTACCGCACCCGAAGACAATATATTTTAAGGCCTGGTGTTGGTAGTGGGTATTGGCGTCTGAGCGGTGGGAGCTGGGCCATCGGGGTAGCGGACGCCATTTTCATAGCTGGGATCGCGGCCAAAGGGGGCGAGGACAGCAGTGCATAGCTGGTGCGGTGGCCATTGCGGGGACCGGGACAGCAGGGTTTATAGCTGGGACAGCACTTCGAGGCTGGGACAGCAGGGAGGGTTTAGAGTTTTAGTTTGATATGTCTGGAACGGAGGAGGACGCAACTCTGAGCGCGAGGTTGGATGAGGCGCTACGAGCAATACAGGAGGCCAAGGCTGAGAAGAAGGAGGCCAAAGGTGAGCCGGTGGAGCTTAGGGCAGCACAGCGGCGGTCTGCGGGTGCACCTGCCGGCAGCAGCTCAGGAGGCGACGGTCTAGTTGCTCCTGGAGGGGCTTCATCTGCACCGGTGAGGCCAATGTGGCCAGGCGGGGTGAGTCATGATGGCGGTACTGGGGTGCCG